TGTCTTCCTGCCACCAAAAGTTGCTCCAGGGAAGACACTTCGAGTTTTGTTATATATTCTCAACTTCATGTTTGTTAGATAGTCAAAAATTTTTCCCCAAAATGGTTAGACTAATTTACTCTCACTAGTAATGTTAAAACATTCCCTTCTCCATATTCTCCAACATGTGACACTATGAGAATTTATTAACTGTTGCCAATATGAAGATTATGGAGTGATAACTAACAGTTATGCTTAGATGATATTTTTCTGAGGTTCCTTCTATTCAGTTAATTTGTGGTCACCACATCAATGCTGCTGCTGCTGCTGCTGCTAAGTCACTTCAGTCGTGTCCAACTCTGTGCGACCCCATAGACGGCAGCCCACCAGGCTCCTCCATCCATGGGATTTTCCAGGCAAGAGTACTGGAGTGGGGTGCCATTACCTTCTCCCACATCAATGCTAAATCTTATCAAAATAATAAAGGATGTGGGGGGAAGAAGCCTTCTTCCACATTTTACAATGAATTTACTTTTCCTCAAGAAATGTCTTACATGGCTAAAGCTGGCTCATGAACCCATAAATCAGGCCATAAAAGAGGAATGGGGACATGGCCCCAGCTCTGTATTTATTTTCTTGTATTCCATAATCCAATGTTACTTAAAAAGCAAATGACCCAATAGTCAAGCCAAAGCAAATACTGTGAATTTTGCCAGGCAAAATGCCTGTGGAGAAATGAGTCAATTCATACAAGATTCAAAGCTGTCTTTGGTCAGTGACATTTTCGTGAAAATCTGTGGGTGGGTAAAAGTTTTGCAAAATTCCTTTTTGCTATTGGATAAAATTCATCCAGGAAAAATAAGCAAAATTTAAGTGGCGACCCACATTCCCCCTAATTCCCTTATTAACACTCCCTAACCTCCCAGCACAACTGCTTTCTATTGTGTACAAAGGCCAGGATCAGGGTTTGTGATCCTGGCAGTGGAAGCCTGTCCCTCTGCTCACTTTGCTCCAATCAGATAGGCTTTCTCATGAGAAGCACTAGCAGACAGAGTGTACCTGGCCTCACTCAGAGCACATCTTCCTGGGAATGCTATCTAGGTGTTGCACACTCTTCAATTTAATGGCAAAAAGACCTACTATGGTAAAAACATTCTCTGTGCGCACTCTGTTGGAACACTTACTGTAGCTATCATTAGGGATGGTTAGTGTACATCTATGGGCTTCCCTGGTAGCTCAGCTGGTAAAGAATCCGCCTGCAATGCAGGAAACCCCAGTTCAATTCCTGAGTTGGGAAGATCCCCTGGAGAAAGGACAGGCTACCCAGTCCAGGACTCCTGGGCTTCCTTGGAGGCTCAGATGGTAAAGAAGCCGCCTGTAATGCAGGAGACCTGGGTTCCATTCCTGGGTTGGGAAGATCCCCTGGAGGAGGGCACAGTAACCCACACCAGTATTCTTGCCTGGAGAATCCCCATGAACAGAGAAGCCTGGCGGGCTACCGTCCACGGGGTTGCAAAGAGTCAGACACGACTGAGCGACTAAGCACAGCACACAGTGTACATCTATAGCTTTGGGTTATATTTTATGTTGTCCTTTAATGAACATGAAACCAGGATTTGGGAAAGAAACTAATTATAAGGCTTCATTACTTGCTCTGACTTGAGAATTTGAAACCTTATCATCTCAGAAAAAAAAATTGAATTCAGCAAAGTTATACCTGGAAATGATCAAAAGTTTTGATACTTCTGAGATTCATCAATGTTAAGGGTGGTCTAAGCTCAGGAAGGTCTAAATAGAATAATATCATGCCTACAAGTTGCTGTATTAGTAGACAAAAGTGAATGGACTCAGGTATTTTTTAATATAGTACTGACATATTCCAGTTTCTGATTTAACTGAGGTCTGTCTGTCTGCCTGCTAAGGCCTTTACCCGTCTCCAGCACTTTGCCATTGGCTGGGAATATCTTTGTAATCAAGCCAAGATTGAAAAGAGGGCAGCTGGTTTGACTTTCCAGAGAAGCAGTAAGAATGAGATCTACAGAAGGGTGGAGTTGTTTGGGTGGGAAAGAGAAAAGAAACCATTCTCTTCTTCCAGTAAGTTAACCAAGTAATAAATTAGCAATCCTCCCCCAGTTCTGCCACCTAAAGTCCTGAGTGATCTAAATCCCAGAGTTCTGGGTAAGGCTGAGGAGTTACAGTCAGAGACTCTGAGAATGTGTTCTCCCATGCATGAAATGGAATTTGGCATCAAGGGAGGACACCAGTGGTAGCCTCTTACTGTAAGCAGGCTGTCACTGAATAGCCCTTTCACACACCCTCCTTTTACCACGACTTCCAGAAGCTCATTGGGCTGCCTGTAGTCATGGCCACCAAACACAACTGGGTCATCACATCTTTCCCGGGTCAATAAGCCAAGTGAGTGAAAAGGATGACTAACTCTAACTGTGGTCCACAGAAAATTAATGGCAGTTAAACATAAGTAAAACAAAAGTGGACTAGGCCTTTTAAGTTAAATTACTCCTAGTCTTTGCAGCATGTGACACAGCCATAAAAACCCAAAGATCACTTCATGTCTCCAAAAGAAGAATGTGGTCATTTTGCTCGGCAAAGATCTTGAGCTTTGAATCAACTACCATCAGTTTCTTAAATAGTGAGAGATGAAACAAATGAGTTTTAATAGTTCTTTCTGTTTGGATTCTGAAAGTGTAAAGACTGGTTTTGCAAAAGGCAGAAAAATGCATCTTTTTCAGATGTGCATCCACATTACACACAATATGTCTTCTCTCTATGGGCTACAATTTGAGAGGACTACTAAACTTTCAGAGCAAAATTATTTGCTCCCAGTTAACTACAACCTTACAAATCAAGCAGATGACATGTAGCAACATAACAGCTTTCAGAAGACAGAATGTTCATGATATGTATGTTTTATAGGAAAATGGATGTTTCCCTGCTAAAAATATATAGTCCCAAGATGAGAGCTACAACATTAGTCAGCCCCTAAGAAACCCTGTACTAATACATTTGCACTATAACATGTAATTTAATGCTTTGTGGGCCTTGATCTGATATGCTATTAAATCTAGCAATCTAAATTTTGCAAAGATTTCATCTAGCAGTGGGGAGTAGGCAGACCAGGGGAGAGAGAGCAATCATTTCCCATACCCATCTTGAATAATATCATGAAAAGCTATGCAGATGCCTGCAAATATTCACCTCTCAGCTTATTCTTTCATTGAAGCATTTCTATTTTTAATAGTCATCATGCACTTTAGCAAAAGTCAACTTTACAAAGTTATATGTTTTTTCAAAATCTGGGAACAGTGGGAAAATACGGAAATCTTATTGCACAAAAATTAATTTTGCAATGCAAAAAAAAATTTTTTTTGGATAATTCAAGCCTTTATGTTTATTTCAGTAAAGCCAAATCCAGCAAACTATTTTCAGCCAGGATTAGTCAGAACTAAAAGGTTGGACTGTTTTCCTTCAGAGACTGAATGTCTCTCTTGCCTGCAATAGGCCAGTGTGTTCCAAACAGAGTAAATGGAATTGCCTTCAACTGCTTTTCTCTTTCTGGCATTTTTAATGCAGAGCCTTACTGACAGAGTAAGGTTTTGTTGGCTGGAATGCAATTATTCTTTTCAGTCATATAACCTGGCATTCTTACAATGTATCAGCTTCAAGTTTTCCTTAAGAAAAATCATAACATGGGGCATAATGTAACGACAAGAAATGCAATTTCATTCCTCCAGAAATTCTTAAAACCTTTTCAAAAGTACCTACTGGATGATGAAAAACGTGCGTCTAATACTTGCCTTACAACTACCACCTGTTTGGTTTGCTTTTACATGAATCCGACAACTTGGCCAACCTATAATCAAACATTAACATGGCAAACATAGGCCAGATTCTTTATTATCAAGACATAATACAAAAAGAAGGGACTCTGGCTGCAGGGCCACCATCTAAATAAGTTCCTTTTCAAAATCATATATATATATTTCACGCATTAAGTGACCTGCAGCATATTCAATATCCAGGAAATACCTACAACTCTCAGATTTTTAACTCTAAAAGAGATATTCTTGTCCATCTGGACTAACATAAAACACATGCTCTTTCTTTTCGAAGAGTTAAGCGAGCTGTATGAGATTGTGCAAAGCCACCCTGTGATCCCAAGTGTCATGTCCGGCTTGTAAACCCAGAGGGTTTCTGTTAGGTGTGAAATGATTGTGCAACCATTTAAGAGTCATATTATTCAAAAATAGTAAATGTTGCAAAGAAACAGAGATAGTTCCAGGATTGATGCTGTGAAAGGGGGAGATGGGGAGAAAGACAACATGCCAACTTCTTTCAACACCAAAGGCAAGGTCCCCTCTGGGTTCTTTCTCTTTATACATTTTCACCCGATTTCCTCTCCTGAAAGTTCAGGGAGATCCAGATTCTGCTCCTGTGATATCCTTGAGTGTTTTAATGCTGGCTATAAATCATTAATTAATCTGACAGCCTTGGAGTGTGCAGTGTGCAGGCGCGTGGGTGTATGCAGCAACAATTTTACTAGCCAAGTTGCTAAGTGTGAGTTCCTTTCCAAATATCAGAACCATCACTCTAACCCTAATACTCACCCAGTTATTGCAGAGAAGGGGAAGTCACTGAATATTTACTTTGGAAAAGAGCTAAAGCTTGCTGGTGGTGCAGTGTGTTTCTCTGCCCTGCACATTTCAGCAAGTCTAAGTTGGTGCCTGATGGGAATCAATTTTCTAAGATTTTGGACAGTGTGGCAGATGAACCTCCCCTGATCTTATACATTTGAAGAAGAGAATCTAGAAGTGGAGAGATACCCCAGCCACTAGTAATTAAAGAAACTTTCTCCTTCCTCAGGCTGAAGAGGAGTCAAATCTCATGGATACCTAGACCTCCAGCACCCAAAGTCCATAAAAGAAAACACTCCCCAACTTGCGGCAGAGTTTGGAAAACCACATACACCTTCAATGAACTCCAGGGGGCGTTAGCAGACTCACCGAACACTTGTTGGGCTTTTCCCCCGAGTGAACTCTCATGTGGATCAACAGTTTATAGCGGGCATTAAATGGCTTGTACCTTCGAGGACAACCGGCCCAGAAACAAGTGAAGTCTTCTCCTTTGCGCTGGTCTATGTGAACCTTCTCGATGTGCCGCACAAGTTCCTCCTGCTGGTCATACAAGGCACTGCAGTCGATCCAGCGACAGCAATGCTTGCCCCCAACGTCATCCATCTCCCCATCCTCTTCCAGGGCGGCCTGGGGCAGGGCCAGCGGCTGGGCCTGGTGGACCAGCTCTGGATGATGCAGATGCGGGTGAGCATGGTAGGGCGGCGGGGGGCCTTGGGGCTGGGGCGGCGGTGGCAGAGGCGGCAGAGGAGGTGCGGGGGGCAGGTCCAGGACGCCACCAGGGAAATCATCCAGGCGCTCGGTCTTGAGCAGGCCGGCCGCGTGGCCGGCGGGGTCCGGCAGGCCGTGCTGCACCACCATGTTGTTGACCAGGCCAGGCTGGAGGCCACCGTGCTCCAGCTGCTGCATGCGCTCATACTCCAGGGCGCTGTCCTCGTCGTAGGCCGGGAGAGCCAGGCCACCGCTGGCCACCCGCACACCCTTCTGGCTACTTGGCACTGAGCACGGCTGAGGAATACAGCTGCCTCGCACTCCCAGGAAATGCCCGTAGACCTCAGGCTGTGGAGACATGTTGGCGGGGGAAGCCCTTGACCCGTTGATGTAGGCGACCAAGGACGTGGGCGAGGTGCGGATGATGGTATTGAAATCTATCCCGATGCCGTCGGACAGCGGGGACAAGGACAGTGCTCTCTTCTTGGAGCGGGCCGAGTGGGACCTGGCTGAAGAGTGTCGGGGACTGGGGTAAGGAGAGTGGCTGTTTTCCATACCGAAAAGGTAGGATGGCAATGAGTTAGAGACACTGTTGCTGGACATGGCTGTCCCAGCAGGAAGGCTGATTAGGTCCCCTAGGTCAGTGCCATTCTGAGAGCTGTGGCTCGAGGAGAGTGAAGGGAGAGCCTTATAGCCGTGCGACCACTCTTGTTTCACGTTCAAGGCCGACTGACTTTCTGTCAGACTCAAAGTTGAGGAGGCCAAAGACTCTCGCGAAATAAGGGACCTGGAACAGCAGCCGGAAGAGGAGGGAAAAAAAAAAGGACAAACATTTTAGCAGGATATGGATTGCTTAAAACTAAAAGAACATTGCATTGACAATCTCTTAAGTGTTTCCCCTAATTGCATTCTCAGCTAAGCACACTTCCTTTGGCTAAGATAAAGCCCAAGACTTTTAGTTCCAGGTATATAACATCTTACCAAGAGGAAAAATAAAGGCTAATGCTTGCTGGAATAATAAAACAAAGATCTATTGTTATAAATAACCTGATACTTCAATGATAATAAATAGTCCTTGCTATATTTTTATATATCTTTTTTTCTACAGGGAAAAATTAGAGACCTAGGAATAATTATTGAAACTTGTCATGGCAAACCAAATAAGTATTTATTAAGTACCTACTATGTGCAACACACTACAAATAGGCATTGTTAGGAATACAAGTCTAAACAGAGTTCCAGTTTGAGTGAAATCTATTTGGTAAGGTAAAACATAAACTGATGCTTAATTTGGGGGAAAAAAAAAAGTAAATCAAAGTCAAAGGGTCATCCAGAGGATCTAATAATAATTTCACAAATTTGTTCCACTGATATCAAGGAATTTTACATATTTCTATAAAAGAAATTTTACATATTTCATACTGACACTATGAGTAGTCAGTAGTCAGTCACAACATCAAATTGACCCAGAAATAAAAAGTTATATATAACATACAGCTGTAATATATAAGGGAGTGACAACCTGAAGTAGAGTCATATTTGGAATTCTGCATGTGGGTCATGCAAGGTTTAATCACTCCTGCAGTTTGGGATCTTCCATGAGCCGCTGTCCTCAAATCAGAGCAGATTTGCACGGAGAGCAAAGTATCTGCTTTAATTACTGTAGCAACAATTCTTCTCCTGTCCTTCTTACCCTTTATAAAATATGCCTCACATGTCACAACATTTGCCTGAATATCAAAATGCTTTGTGTTGTAGTCTAGCCACTTTAAAATTCATCTTGCTTTAACCATGATATCAGCTTTAAAAATCACTGAAGGGAAAAGCTATGCCTGTTGGATGGAAACATTGTCCCAAAGAGGCTAGACAGAATTCACCATACTCCCAACTCAGAATAGTGTATATTAAAAAGCCAGCTTTTTAATTTGTGCTTTTATTGGCTTTCTACAGAGATCTTTTTTCTGACAAAAAAATTTTAAATATTGTATAGAATGTCTGTCTTTCCCAGGATGAGCCCACTTACTACTTCCAGCTGTTATAAAGCAACCTGTTGCAGAACTGAGGGAAAATAGAAGTATTCTCATCCCATCTGTTCCTCTTACTTCTTTTCACAAAATAGAAGCCAGGAACACTGTTTCCTACAAGCATGAGAGATTAGCAAGAAAACATCTATACTCTGAAATGCACAGTATTAGGTGAGAGATAACACCATTGGCAATCTGGTGTTTTCCTCCAGCGAGGTAATGTTTACCATTGACAAGCACAGCAAGAATTTAAGTCCAGTTGCCCTTAATACAGATTTTCTTCTCTCTGTCCAGATCCTTATATTTGGGCTGAAGTCCTTTGCAAGTCCCAAAGTAGCTTCTGAACCATCTGTTTTTTAATTCCCCATGAACACTTTCAATTATTTTCCCAGCATACCCACAGCATGAAGCTCTCCCTGCAGAGCTCAGCTGAAGGCTCCTGGTAATAGGATGTCAAGGGCCTTTTAGTCCCTTCCCCAGGGAGATTCAGGAATTGCTTTCCGACCCAAGTCAAATCAGTAGTCATGTCATATATAAGGCAAAGACAACTGACTTTGCTTTACACCCTGAGGTTGAGATGGTTTATATAACATTCTTAAATGGTGCATTTGCCTGGTCACTGTCATACCAGAGCATTTCAGATTTTAAGCAGTGAATTTGTTGTTCAGTCACTCAGTGTCCGACTCTTTGTAACCCATGGGCTGCAGCATGCAGGGCTTCCCTGTCCCTTACTATCTCCCGGAATTGGCTCAAATTCATGTCTATTGAGTGGATGATGCTATCTAACCATCTCATCCTCTGTCACCCCCTTTTCCTATTGCCTTCAATCTTTCCTAGCATCAGGGTCTTTTCCAGTGAATCAGCTTTTCGCATCAGGTGGCCAAAGTACTGAAGCTTCAGCTTCAGCATCAGTCCTTCCAATGAATATTCAGGGTTGATTTCCTTTAGGATTGACTGGTTTGAGAGATCAAGAAAGGAGATCAAACCAGTCAGGCAGTGAATAGCAAGTAGGAAGTATTTTACCCACCTGTATATGTTTTGCATTTGAAATTATACTATTTGGTTTGAGGGCTGCCTATAGTGAGACATGTTCATTTGTTCCATTGTTAAAAGCTGTTCCTTATTTTTTTTTTAAATACACCTAAATATGACTTGATTAAATTTGAGCATAATTCCATGCAGGCACATTCCTTAACTCCTTAGATATCTCAGTGTTCTAAGACAGTTATCAATATTTTTTCAGAAAGCAATTCTATGTCCTATTCACTAAGGCAATAATATGAATGGAGAGCTCTCTTCTTGAATACTTAATAAGAACAAAACTTCCAACAAATGGCCTTTTCCTAGCAGCTCAACTCTCTTCTGAGCAATTACTCAAATCTTTTAATATTTCAAAGTTCTAATCCATGAAACCTGCCCCAAAGATAGTAGCTCTCAGTAAAAGTTTTCTTTCCAGAAAAGTTATATTCTATCTATATTGAACCTTAAACATAGCTAACTTCAGGCATCTGTGGGTGTTATCTTCCTCAATAAAATTCAAAGACCTCCAATAAAAGTGATTATTTTTATCTCTGACAGTACCCACCAGAGTGTTAGATGAAGTTCCCCCCCTCCAAAAAAATGTTGATTAAGGTGAGTAAATTAATATAATGATAACCATTTTTAACTTATAAAGTAGTTTCCCTATATATTATTCCATTTAATACAGCCTGTGACATAAGCAAATTGGAATTTTAAAATAACCTCTGTTTTACAAAGAATAAAACCAATGTTCTGTGAAATTCCTCCCAATGATACAAAAAAAAAAGGCAGGGGGGGCGGTTGCCAAGAATCCTTAAATAAGTACAAATAAAGCAGCAGATTTGATAAGCAGTCACTTAGTTTGATCAGATATATCCTCTATTGTTTTCCCCATATCATACCCAACACATGGTCCATAATGCTCTTCTTGATTAAAAGATCTGGTATAAGAGACTTAAAGGCACACAAGCTATAAATGGAACCCACATTTTCTGTTTTCTTTCTGAAACAATATGTTGAATGATTGAGAAAGATTCCAAAAAATTCTTTTCTATAATCCCTGCTGCTACCCACACCAGGCCTATGGGAAAGAAAGTGACAAAGAGCTGTGGTTTTATCACCATACTGAGAGAAATATCCATTTCTGGATGTTCATCTAATCCTAAGCATGTTATTTCCTGTGACCAGTTAATTTGAAGCTATATATGAATGAAATATAACTCAAACAAAATGAAAGCAATATGAAAAACTTAAGAAATCATCAGTGAAACAGGTTAGGGTGGCTGGTGAAGCAAGAGCTGAGATAACTAGTGGGGCCATAAGAGGTGTGATGACCAAGCCAAATGGCTCAAAAGAAATACTTACAAGAAGGAATTCCTCAAAAAGGGGCACAAGAAAATGACTATATATCTATATGTATACGTATATATACATATATATGTCATGAAAAAGAGATGTGCAACAAAAGAGTTACAGAATTGATCCAATAAAGTATTACTTATAATACTGAAATAAATGGAAACAAATGCCCAGTTATAAAAGACTGATAAAAATCAGAGCTTTATTTATATACTTTTTAATAAAATGGAATCTTGGGCAGGAAGAAGACATTATATGATGCTAAAGATTTTTTTTTTTACCACAAAAGATTATGACAAAGGAAATTGGTTATATTAACTGAAAAAAATAAATATAATACTAGGTAGGTCATTATGATGTATATGTTTGCCTACTGGTGGCTCGACAGAATCCGCCTGCAATGCAGGAGATGCAGGTTCCATCCCTGGGTCAGGAAGATTCCCCTGGAGAAGGAAATGCAACTCACTCCAGTATTCTTGTCTGAAAAGTCCCATGGACAGAGGAGCCTGGTGGGTTACAGTCCATGGGGTCGATAAAGAGTTGGACACAACTTAGTGACTAAACAACAACAAGAAGGATATATGTCAAAATTTCACCCATGGTTGTCTGTGAGTGATAGGATTCAGGATGACTATCATATACTCTCTTGTGCTTGTCCACAATTTTCTACATCTTCTACAATTAGTAAGAATCACATAGATCATCAGGAAAAACAGTAATAAATTTTACAGTTTTTTATAGGGCAACCATCACTCAGATTGAACAGTTTAAGCTTCTACCCAGTCTCACCATCCCGACTCCTCCTCCTCGCCCCCCCCCCACTCCCCCCACCCTCAGGCATGCTCCCAATAAATAAAACACAAAGCTGATTCTCTCTCCATCTTATCTTTATCTCTAGATAGCAAAATGCCTTCAGGTTGAACTGTTGCCTCCTATCCTATCTCTCCTCTTATGGGATACAGAAACCAGTGTAAGTATCACAAACAAATGAAACCTTTCCAAGTTGCTAAAAGTGAATTTGATATTTTACCAAGCTACTTCCCAACTCCTGTTTCTTTGCTCATCCCGCAAAAAAATTATTTCCATAGAAGGACTCACAGAATACATAGTTAAAACATATGTTAATGCATCTCTAAGAGATGTTGTCTTTTAAATATAAAAATTTATGCTAAGGAATCAAATATGCTAGAGAACATTGAGATAATGACCCTTCCCTGCTCAACCCATGAAAGGGACTGCACTACATGCATGGTTGGAGCAGCCTGTGCCCTGCCTACCTTTAGTTTCTCCATTAATTATGACTCTCTGCCTTCAAGGCATGGGCTGGACTTGCCACAGACAGGAAGCTGAAGACTTCCCAATGACACCTACCCCACGAGTACAGTTAATTTTACATGCAATACTCAGCAAGTCTGAAGAGTCCCTCAAGGCATAATCATCAACAGGAAAATGACAGAAGCAGCTTTCCATCACACACACAAAAATCTCAGGTGAAAAAACACATTCCCGTCTCATTGAAAAAATTGGCATAAAAAATCATCCAGGAACTGTGATTTTTAGAGTCTTGAATAGCAGCTAGGACAGTACAGAGACACAAGAGGGAGAAAGATTAGAGGAAAAGAAGGAAGGGGAGGAAGGAGAGGAAGAAATAGAACCCAGACTGCAAGGCATCTCAGCAGATTCCAGTCCCCCAAGAAGGGTACAGAGGTCCACAGAACGGAGGTCCAATTCCTTTGCAAAATCACAGACTTAGGCAGAAACTTTGGATTGTACTTCTTCAAGAAGACTACTTGTAAAAGATGAAATAATTCATTTCAAACATAGAAATATACCTTACACATTACAGAGTATTGTGGTTTTATGTAGCCTGTAATATCAACCTTGAGAGATATAAAAATCTGTCTGAGATAATTTCCCTATTTAATTATCTACCATGAGATAGATATATGGCATTTATTGAACCTACTTATTTCAGCACCTAATCAGGCATTGTGTTGAAATGTTATGTAACTCACACATGAGAGTATGTCTTCCCAGATACATCATAAAGTCTGAAAGTTCACAATTTCTATCTTTAACTTTTCAACTATCTCCCTAAACTTCAACTATTGTATTATGCAGAACATAGATATTTAAATTCCTTGGTTAGACAAGTGAATGGGTGGATGGACAGACAAAACAGACTGTAAAGCAGCTTTAGGATACTGCAACATAAACACTGAAAAACGAGCAGCTAAGACATATGTACATGGAACATCCTATCTTTCCAAGCCATGATATGACCTTTACCAGGAATCAAAAGATTAATATACTGGTATTTAGTCCCTGGGGGCTTCCCAGGTAGTGCTGGTGCTAAGGAACCCACCTGCTAATGCATGAAACATAAGAGATGCAGGTTCAATCCCTGGGTGGGGAAGATCCCCGTGAGGAGGGCACAGCAGCCCACTCCAGTATTCTTGCCTGGAGAATCCATGGACAGAGGAGCCTGGTGGGCTACAGTCCACAGGGTCGTAAAGAGTAGAACATGACTGAAGCGACTTAAGATGCATGCATTTAGTCACTGAGGCCCCCAAATCTCAAAGTTGGCGTTAATTTCACTCACACTTTATGACAGAAAGTACGAAATCATTCTTCCCAATTAAGATGGTATTAGGGCACACAGTTTTTATACACCTTCCCCTACAAAGCTCAAAGTACAAGAGCTGCTTGAGTGAGTGAGAGAGAGAATGAGTGTGTCTGTATGTGTTTTGTGTGGGCATGTGTTCAGGAAGAAAAGGGAAAACACTCATGGGTGTGATTATAACATAAGAAGGGGGAAAAAAAAGTAATTTGAGACCTGGTATCTGAAGGAGGTATATTCAGGTTGGCTGCATTCACTGCCCTCTGTAAGCTAGGACTGATCTGGTTGCATGCTGTGGAGACCTGGCTTGCTGGAGGTGAAATGGGTCCCAGTCGCTGAACCATCATGGGACTGCTGGTGACCACTAGATTGTTGCAGCTGCCTTTTCCAATGGACTTGCACTGAGGCCCAAAGCCAAGAGCCCCTAAAAACAAATGAATCAGGTTAGCTTTCATGTCCCTTACATCAGAAATCAGTAAATACACATATGTGCACACTTATATCAGGACTCATCTTTAAAGACAGTCCTTAGATCATCTTTTTTTTTCAGTATTAGTGATACCAAAAAGCTTTCTCTAATTCCAATGAAAAATCCATAATGCTACAATAGAAACCCTTCTATAATCACCACTCATACAAAATATGCTTACATTTTGCCCCTTCTACATTCAAGTGTCCAGTTATATAAAGAATCATATTTTATCATCTCTTTACCTAAAGGGTTAAGGTGGTAAGTAGATGGGATTACTTATCTCAAACCATGTATTTTCCAAAATAGCTAATATCTTAAATCACCCAGCAAGGAAAGTTGACACTACTGACAAAAACTTGTTTAACTGGTTCACTTCATTCAAGTCTGGCCTTCCAAAAAGCCTCTTTAAAAGGATATAGTCTGGCTGTGGCTCTCCAATCTTTATTTTTCCTCTTCATCCTAATATATTGTCATTGGACATATACCCAGTTTTTTAAAAAATCAGGACAAGACAGCCTTAAAACATCATTTTAAAAGTAGTATGTTAACCAAATTTGACATAGATTTTTCATTTCATTAGCAACAATCTTTGAATGTAGTAAAACTTTGGTACATAACCAGAGGGGAAAGAAAAAAAAAAGAAAGAAACCCTCAAGAATCTGAGCCGTTTCGGAAAAGTGAAAAGCAAAGAGGAGCAAGGCAAACACTGCTATGACTCATTTAAAAAAAATAATAATAGTCGTTGAATCATTCTAGACATTCTTTTTACATGGGTATACTTTTTCAAACATTTTTTGCAAACTACTTGGTCAAGTCTCAGTTCCCATTTCAGGCAAATGAAAAGAAATATGATCCTAGGTTTCCTGGCAAATTAGGCTCTAAAGTTTTCTCACCAAATTCCTCATCTTTCTCATTGATATATTTGGGATCAAAGTAGTAGAAAAGCATCACAGTAACCTTCCTTACTTAGCTTTAGAGAATATAATTTTTTATTTTGTCTTTTCAAAAATAAATAGCCAAAAAAAATGACTTTTCCATCTTTTGTAACATTCTCTTCCAAGAGCCCACAAAACTAAGGATAAACAAGACCTCAGCATAATCATCAACACTCTCTTCAATGAACTCACATCTCCAAAGTGCTAGGAGAGTCACAGTATCTTTAGCAAGCAGGAAGCCTTCTCCAGTCCAGGCCTCTGGGAAACTAAAATCCAAGTGGTAACTGACTTGCCCAAGGTCACACAGGGATTTACTGACAGAGCTGAAACAAATTCTATGAGAATGCATTTTCATGGCACCTGCATATTTAAGTTTAGGTGCTAGATGCTTAGTTCCTTTCTTGGATACTTTCCAAGATCCAACAGAAACGTCTCCTAACTTTTTCCAGATACACAAACCAGAACCTACCCCTTTCTCTGCTGCTTATATCTGATGCATCTTCTTGTGCCTTGAAACATCAGTCATAGATAGTCTCTCTATTTTCATAGTTCATATAACACTGTACCATCAGGGTTTCATCTTTACACCAAGAGAGTGGGTACATTTTTGTGCAATGATCATAAGCTTAAGATTTTTTAAAATTCCAACAAGCTACATGCAATTTGCTTTTCAAATTCCCTTTTTATCTTGGAAAAAGGCAATGTTCAGTATATAAGACACTTGAATTCCATCCCCAGGTTCCATCCCTACCAGCCACTGCTACTAAAAGCAATATTAGATGTCAAGTATTCTGTCCAATTCAGTGTCATATATTTATCTAAGGAACTCACCCATTTCATGCCTGTTTCCTTCACAATAAAAAGATATTAATACCTACCTCTAAAACAAAGACATATTAGCAGCTGGATCAGCACACCCAAGAAATGCTATTTGGTGTCAAAGCATATTAATACATCATTTCATCAAATCTTAGATGCCATATAAGTCATACCATTATTTCATATACCAGTAAAAACATCAAACTGGTACATGGTGTTACTATTTCACAGATATTCTGATGTGAAAATAATGCATACCTTAGAATAGATAAATACCAATAAGACTGCTGAAAAAATTATTTTAACCCCTCTCTTGTTCACACTTTTCTCTCTGCTAGGTACAGCCTTACCCTAACTTGTCTACCTAGTGATCAGCCTCTCTCTTCAAAGATCATCTTCCCTATGACTCCCTTCACACACTACCAGCTGGGCAAATCTAATTAATTCTTCTTTTTGTTCCCCCACAGTCTTTTAGAACAAATTTGCCTCAGCACCTTCAGGGAACTGAAATGTACATGACTGTCATCCATTTATACTTGATTGCTTTTTAGAGACAAGCTCTTGCTTGAGACAGCACCGCTTCTTCAGCACCTAGCCTAAGGCCTGTACATACACAATAAAATCTGTCAATGAAGCTACGAATGAATGAATGAATGAATGAATGAAAATAAAGGATTTTAGTATATGATATTAACTACTGAGACATTATTTCCACTAAAGTCCTCCTGGTCTTGTTTAAAACCGTACAATTTTTCAAAAACAGACTCCAACTAAGTCAGTCCTTTGATGTTTCTCCACAGTGTGACTAATGAGAGATACGGGTGGAAAATGAAGCTGTGGGAGTGGTAATTATAAATCCATCTTCCTAGGCTGGAATTTTACACTGGTCAAGGCTGCCCTTGTAACCCTATACCCTGGATTCTCACATTCATAGTACTTTTTCTCTGACTCTAATAAAGAAACATTAGTCTTCCCCTCCCCAGTCTCTCCATCATTTTCACAATAACACCTCCTACTCCTGAATTCACTAGTCAACTTGAGCCTCATCTAACCATAGAGGAGTGACAACTTCTGACAGATATTACATACAGTGTCCATGAAGCTAAATGGTAAATTTCTTGGAAACATATAATGTTTGTGGAGCAGCTTTAAGAATGTTCTGGAAAATGGCATCATCACTCTCACACGTGGAGGCAAGTAATACTTTGACCAAGAACCACTGTGCTCAACGCAAGCATCTAACTTCAATTTTTTGCATAATTCTGGACAGAATGAATACCTCCAAGTTGCTCAGAATTGTCTAGCGTATTGTAGTTTGGGCTCTGAAGACAGCCTGCTTGGGAACCCAAAACCCAGGATGGTTGTGTGACTTGGACAAATTACGTAAATATTTGTGTTTATCTCTATGTCTATGTCTTCTCATCTGTAAAATGGGAATAAAAAGAATACTACTTCATAAGGTTGTTGTGCATCTAGTATTAATTATACACACAAAGGACTCCACATATTGCCTAGCACATGGTACTGAATTTATGTTAGTTGTGAATTTTGTTGCAGCTGTTGTTTTTATTGTTCATGCCTGTCATCACTTTTTTTCCTGCATTCTTTCTTGAAGTAAGAAGAAAACAGTTCTTCATAATTCCCTGCATAAAACAAGATACAAGTAAATGATACTATTTAATTCTTTACCCATTTCCAATGTTCTTTCTGCTTTGAGCCTGGAGCCAATTTTTTTTAAAACCAGGTGTCATCACAGATAGAAGAAAAGTTTTCAACTGGCCAAGTTTGAATGTTCCTTGGCTTGTCATTCCCTGAAAACAAACCATAGAACTTTTCTGACTACCAGATGTGCCAACTACTTGTGTGCTGGTTTCATTTTTAAAGACTGCTTATTTTTAGAGACTGTACAATGTTTTTTAAAAATGTGTTTACTGCTCAAATAAGGATTAGAGTGGATGGCATTCTAAGTACCACATACATCCTAACCAAAATCGCTGCATGCTGGTGGGAAGTACAGATGTTCTGCATTTCCTGAACTGACAGGTCATCTTAGCAAAACTGTGTTTTTAATTAACATCTTCATTAGTTAAAAGAGTTCTCTTGAAGTCAAATAGCTGACTGTGTTACAATTATCCCTGCTGAGGCTGCATCTTTCAGAACAATTTATGTTTATTCACTGGTTCCTCTAAAAATGACACAGATATTGGGGGAACATAAATGACACAATATATATGAGAGGTGGTAAGGAAAAGTAATCAGTTCTTTTTGTGTTTTTATTGTTCATTCAACTGACTAATCGAATGCCAACCATGAGCTGGGCAGTCCCTGGAGACAATGGTGAGCAAGACAGACAAGAGTCCCATCAAGAGTCCCATCAAGATTCCAAGAGCTGCCAATGAAGAGGAACACCAAAACAGCCATTCTATAAAAGAGAGCCCTGCTCCTAGGTTGGGTCATATGAAATGTCTTTCTTTACAGGTCAAACATGAACAAATAAGAGCAATTTCTATATAGTTCAACCCAACACATATGCAGAGTGTTTGGGAAACAGAAATAAAGCATACCAGGATTTCAGTCTGTCTCACCCATCCACTGACTATGTGACACTGGGCAAGGTACTTAAAAGTCTCTGTGCTTCAGTATCCTGTGAGGTCCTGAGGAAAGTAATGGTACCTAATACCTAAAGTAATAGTACCTAGTACCTAATACCTAAATAGTACCTAGTACCTTTATGAGGATTAAAAGGGTTAGTACATATTATCATATACTTTACCATCTTTAAGGATCAGGGTTTTCTTCCCAATCTTTCATTGTAAAACATTTCAAATCTACAGAATAGTTCTAATAACAGTGCATGAATCTTCTTTATCTAATTTATCAATTGATAAATTCCATCTGTTGATCTATCTAACCATCGACCCATCTCTCGCTATATATAAGCCTGTTAATATTTTAATTATTATGCCCTTCACCCCAAAATAGGTAACCATAACACAATCATCAAATTAAGACATTTGGCAATGATGTAGTACTAGTATGTAATACACCATTTATACTCAAATATTACCAATTATCCAATAGTAACCTTTAGAGCAATTGTTTTCCAATCCAGGATCATGAATTTCAAAGAAATATTTTGCAGAAGTGGATCTTCAAGAACGGAGTGGTAAATCAGTGGACACTACGGAACTGTATGTT